TTTTTTTTGAGATGGAGTCTTGCTCTGTCACCCAGGCTGGAGTGCAGCGGCGTAATCTCAGCTCACTGCAGCCTCCGCCTCTCGGGTTCAAATGATTCTCCTGCCTCAGACTCCTGAGTAGCTGGGACTACAGGCACGCGCCACCACACCTGGGTAAGTTTTGTATTTTTGGTAGAGATGGGGTTTCACCATATTGGCCAGGTTGGTCTCAAACTCCTGACCTCATGAGTCACCCACCTTGGCCTCCCAAAGTACTGGGATTACAGGCATGAGCCACCATGCCTGGCCGGGAATTTTTTAAGGTGATGGAAGTGCTCTGTATCATGCTTGTGGTGGTGGTTACAAAACTGTATGCATTTTATTTATTTATTTTTTCAGACAGTCTTGCTCTGTCACCCAGGCTGGAGTGCATGGTGTGTTCTCAGCTCACTGCAACCTCCGCCTCCTGGGTTCAAGCGACTCTCATGCCTCAGCTTCTCAAGTAGCTGGGATTACAGGCGTGAGACACCATGCCCGGCTAATTTTTTGTATTTTTAATAGAGACAGGGTTTCACCATGTTGGCCAGACTGGTCTTGAACTCCTGACCTTAGGTGATCCGACACCTGACCTTAGGTGATCTGACAGCCTCGAGACCCAGGAATTCAAGACCAGCCTGGGCAAAATGGCAAAATTCCGTCTCTACAAAAAAACAAACAAAAAAACCAGGGGTCATGGCACTTCCTTGTAGTCCCACCTACTGGATGGGGGCTGAAGTGGGAGGATTGCCTGAGCTGGTGCAGGTAAAGCAAGGCTGCAGTGAGCCATGATCATGCCACTGCACTCAAGCCTGGACAACAGAGTAAGACCCTGTCTCAAAAGAGACCTAATTAGACAGAGATAAGCATACCCAAAATTGTATCAATGTTAAGTCGCTACAGAATCATCTCTTTGGTGGGTAGGGTTCTAAGGAAGCAGATTCTAAAGAAGAATAAAAGTCTGAGAAAAGACAAGATTTCCCAGAGGAAAACCAAGCAAGGGGTAGTGTTTTGCTATGAAAACCTAATGGAAGCTATAGTCATCATGAGCCCCAGAAAAAGGTCTTCCCATATATGAAAATTTGTGGGAGAGAGGCAGCACTGCAGACAAGTGAAAAGGATGGGTTTTCAAGTAAATGGTGCTGGGACAACTGGGTATTAGAGAAAAATAAAACTGAATCCCTCCCTTATAATATATACAAAAATTAATTCCATATGGATTAAGGATTTAATTCTCTTAAAATACAAAAAAAATCTCCTCCTCAAGGGTAGGGAAGGATTTCTTAAGACACAATAAGCAAAAACCATAAAGAAAATATACCATATATGATACATTCAGCTAAATCATAAAATTCTATTTATCAAAAGGTACAAAAAGAGTCAAAATACAAGCAGAAAACTGGGAGAAGATATTTGCAACAATTATCACCAAGACAAAACTATATTTAGAATATAAAGGACGTATACAACTAAAAAAGACAAATAATTAAATGAATGAACAACACATATAAGATAGTTCACAGAACAGCCGAGTGCGGTGACTCATGCCTGTAATCCCAGCACTTTGGGAGGATGAGGCGGGCGGATCACAAGGTCAGGAGATTGAGACCATCCTGGTTAAAACAGTGAAACCCCGTCTCTACTAAAAATACAACAAATTAGCCGGGCATGGTGGCGGGCGCCTGTAGTCCCAGCTATTCGGGAGACTGAGGTAGGAGAATGGCGTGAACCCAGGAGGCAGAGCTTGCAGTGAGCCAAGATCACGCCACTGCCCTTCAGCCTGGGCAACAGAGCAAGTCTCTGTCT